GCCATCATTGTTGTTTGGCGAGTCCGGGCTGGGGATTCGAACCTGCCACCTTAGGTGTATGTGGCTGGCGCCTTAGCCGCTTGAGCCACAGGCGCTGAGCCCAAACACACATTTTGACCTGAGATCATCTTTCAAAAAAAATTTTAGAGCAAATTTTGCAAAACCTTGGATAAGTAAAAAATGTGTGTTATTTCTTAATATGAGTTCTGTTGTAAAACCAATGTAGCACAGACAGCTTGAAATTATCAATGAAGTATTTGGAAAGGATACGACTAATTAATGCACCATGTGTTGATGATTTGAGAATCTCTGTTCTGGTGATTTTAATCTTAAAGATGAGCCACGTGGGCAACCTGAGACTAAGGTGGATAATGATGAGCTAAACAAAGCCAGGCTAAGGGTCATCCTACAGATGGTATGGCCTGTAATCTTCAAAACTGTTGCGTTTATAAAGACAGGGAAAGGCTGAGGACCTGCTCCTGATTGAAGAAGACTAATGGAACATGACTTCAAATTACTGGCAATTTCACAACTGGTAGGAAAAAGAGACATCATTGGGACCAATAATTTCAGCTTAAATTACAGTAGAACCTCAGTAAGTTGACTATCCAAAGGACTGTAACAGATTGGTCAATATACAGAGGTGGTCAACAGAAGGAACTAGGCCTACTCTGTCGGTATGTACATGTGGTACATGTTCAATCTATGAAAAGTAGGTCAACTTAAGTGGGTGGTCAATGTAGGGAGGTGATCAACTATTGAGATTCTATTGTATTTGAGAAAGAAAAAAAAACATGATAATCATATATAGACATTTGCTACAATCAAAGACTAGGAAAAAATGCCTCAGAAGTGATGCATCTTATTATAGATGAACCAATTTTTGGATGCTCTCAGACCTCCCTATGTATATCCCTGTCTTAGCATTTATTGTGTTTTCTTGCAACAACCTGGTATTTCCTATCACCCTCAAAAGATAGTGAAAGAGAGAAATGTTTGCTTTATTCCTTAAGAACCCAGATTCCACCCTCATCATTGCTATCCTCACAGCCCTCCTAATAACCCCTACTTATTCAGTGATGACATTAACAATCAGATCATTGCCTATCTGCACCAATACTGCTGGCATGCTGGTATCTTCAGTGTTCATTAACTAACTCCTATTCCAACTCCCGGTCATCTAACTCCTATTCTTATGGACTTGTGAGTACCTTTGTTTCAATTCCTTCACTTACTTCCCATTTTATACCCGACAGCTTGTTATCACCAGCCTCTGCTGCAAAACCTCTAAGTCTTGGCCTCAATGCTCTCATGTAAAATAAGGAACCTGGCCAGATAAGAATAATACTGATTCGTCAATGCTCACCATGTATAGGCTTTCTTACATAGGTATTATTGTTATATTCAATTTTTAGACAATAAACTGAAGTTTTAAGAAATTAAGAAATTTGGCCATGTGTGGTGGCTCATGCCTGTAATCCTAGCACTCTGGGAGACTGAGGTGGGTGGACTGCCCTGAACTCATAGGTTTGAGACTAGCCTGAGCCAGAGCAAGACCCTGTCTCTAAAAATAGCCGTGTGTTGTGGCAGGCACCTATCATCTCAGCTACTCAGGAGGCTGAGGCAAGAGGATCATTTGAGCCCCAGAGTTTGAGGTTGCTGTGAGCTATGACACCATAGCACTCTACCAAGGGTGACAAAGTGAGACTCTGTCTCAAAAAAAAAAAAAAATGAAGTTAAGAAATTTTCCCAAATCTAAGGATACAAAACTCATTAACTAATTTGAACTAGGGTTCAAATCTAGAGCTCTGACGCTCTTAACTACATGATATTACATCCTTTATAGCACCTGTTTTGGACATTTCTAGCTCAAACACTCCACAGTTCACTGAAAAATGAATAGCTATCATACAGACTGAGCACTATACTTACAATGTTAAATTGTTAGACTAATGTTTCTTAGGGTAATAATTTTTTTTAATGCTAAAGGGCTTTATACAAAAATGGTTCTCATTTTAGTCTGAAATTACTAAAGGAAGAAATATAGAAAGCTCCTTAACAACAGAACAAAAAATTGAAACATACTCACAAGCTCTCCATAACGTGCGGTTGAAATTCTACATGGAGGAAAATTCCCCATGCTGCTGAAACATAATCCCCCTGTCTTCAAAAATAAATAAGGGAAAAAATACCTAAGTTATAAAAAGTTATAAGCAATTGAATTAAAAAATATATACTTTATTAATTTGATTAGCCTTACTAAAATGTTAGGTTCAGAACATATACAGGACCCACTCGTATTAATGAATGTTGGTTCACATCGGATGCACCTGTGTAACATACATAGTAAAAATAATTTTTAAAATATTAATAAATTATACCAAACCTAATAGAGAACTTATCTCCTAAAATGATGGGTGAGAATACATTCATCCAGCTAAACAAGTACTTAAACATATTAAACAAATTTAAAATATTAATACTAATTAGAATACTTATATACTACTCTGTATTATAAGGCAAAGTGTAAGGAAATAAATCTAACCAGTAATAGAAGAGCATTTTTTTAACTACATAGAATGTATAGAATAATACCGAATAGCAAAGATTGTTACATCACTCATAAATGAAAGAGCCCAACAAACTCATATAAATGAAGCCCAATTTTTACAAATACTCATATCAAATATACTTTCCTTATTTTATCTGCCAGCACGCAAAAAAGTAGCATAAGCTGAAAAGATACTTATATCTAGCACTTCATAGACCTATAACCAATCCTTTTTTAAAAAAATAAAGTCTAATTATCATCTTAGAAAAGAAAATAGTTTATACCTTTTATTAATGATTGAGATAGAGGGGGAAGGGCACTAAACTAGTGGGAAATGAGAGTAGAGGGAGGGAGGACACTGGACTAGTGTGGACACTACGAATGAATATTTGGGTATTCAGTACTTGCAAGATAGAGCAGGTAGGAGTGGGGCTGGGCATGACATAGAACTCAGACTAGGTTAGGGGAAGTAGTAGAGGAGCAAACTTGGGACTCAGCCCAGAAATCAGTACTATGATGCTATAACTCAGGTCGGCCGGAGAGAAAACACATTCCAACACTAAGTGTCCCCAGGAGAAGCTGCTAGACTATTCTCTGTATTAAACTAGGGAACTAAAGACTGTGCTTAGAGGGAAGTCATTGTGTAGGCCTCTAAGAAAACTGAAGAAAGTGAAATTAGAGGGCAGTCTATAGGGGAGGGTGTCTGTGTGGTGCATGGAAACATGCATAAAGAGGGAATGGGAAGCAAGAGAAAATAGGACTAAAAATCAGGGTACCTAGGCTAGCATAATTATTATTTTACATATTAATTTTTTCTATGTAACATTATAATATTTAAAGGCACATAATTATAAAACAAAAATAGCTACCTTTTACTGAGTGGTTACCTAAACTAAGAACTTTACATGTTTATTTCTGAGCCATTATAGCATATGAAATGGGTAGTATATTTCCTTCTAAAGACAAGGGACTGTAACTTATTGAGTTTCCAAAGTCAAACAAATTAACAATCTGAGCCCAAATGTGTACCGCTATTCTGTCTCACACTCTAGGTTTCAGCTTATTTGTCTGTTAATTCTATTTCTATTCTTTTTTAGGTTATAGGAAAATACTTTTTAGCAGTACAGATTTAACAGAAGATGTTACCAACGAAGTCGCCCCTTACTACATTGCTTACCTGTTTCCTAAAGCATCTGCTACTGCAAAGGAGGCTTCCTGGTCATCACAGTATTCACATTTTGCTTTAGACAACAAAGTCCCATTAACAGTTCTTTCCACTAAACAATTTAGAAATAAAATTAAGATGTAACTTAAGGGAAACATATAAATTTGTATACATTTAGAAAATAATACAACTCACTTATAACTATTAGTCTAATAATTCTAAAAATACCTTTTTTTGTAGCAAAGGCATGTCAAGTATCTCAATAATAATCACACATAATAAAATACAGCAACTAATTGCCCAAGTCATCGTAACAAATAATCAAATATTTTGTCCTCAAAAATTACCTATAGGTTCCTGTCACACTGGAATGGGGAAGTAAGTCTTTTCATAGATTGCTGATAATTTTTAGTAATTCAGAGGGGTTTTAGTAGTATTTATTGAAGTTTTAAATTCACACACCCCGGCTCGGCGCCTGTGGCTCAAGCGGCTAAGGCGCCAGCCACATACACCTAAGATGGCGGGTTCGAATCCCCAGCCCGGCCCGCCAAACAACAATGATGGCAGCAACCAAAAAATGGCCAGGCGTTGTGGAGGGTGCCTGTAGTCCCAGCTACTTGGGAGGCTGAGGCAGGAGACTCGCTTGAGCCCAGGAGTTGGAGGTTGCTGTGAGCATGATGCCATGGCACTCTACGCAGGGGGATAGCTTGAGGCTCTGTTTCAAAAAAAAACAAAACAAAACAAAACAAATTCACACCCCCCCAAATGCTACAATTTTATTTTTAGGTACCTAAAGCACAGAAACACTGTACATGTGTATAAGGATATTCACTGAAGCACTATTTATTAGAAAACAAGCTGAAAATCTAAAATAGCAGAAGGGCATTTAAATGCTACGAAATAGTATGGAAAGCATGAAAACGAATAAGGGAGATCTAACAAATCACACCATTAACTGAAAAAAAGCATGCTATAGAACAATATCTGTGGTGTGAAACTTTTTTTTGAGACAGGGACTCATTTTGTCATTGCCCAGGCTAGCATGCAACAACACCACCATAGCACACTGCAACCTCAAAATCCTAGGTTCAAGCAATCCTCCTGCCTCAGCTTCCCAAGTAAATGGACTACTGGTAAGTGCTACTATGTCTGGCTAATTTTTCTAATTTTTGTAAGAGACTGGGGTCTCCTTATGTTGCTCAACCTAGGTACCATGAAACATTTAAAATACCACTTATATTTCCCATGACTACAACATTGATCTTTATGATAAAACAGGGAAAAAACATCCTGAAAGTGCACACACACATGCACTCTTACACCAAAATGACCAATTTTACACCAATTGCCTCAGACTGAAGGAGTAATAGATTATTGGCGTTAGCAAAATGGTCAAATAGGACTTTAGTCTTATCTGTAATGTTTTAAGTTTTTGGAAGGTGATAAAAAATAATTTTAACAGAAGTAAAAGTGAACAACTTGTTCCCCTATAGTCATCCCTGTCTCAGCAAATGCAACTCCATCTGACCATTTACTCAAGCCCCAGTCCTGACAGTCTTCTCTTTTCAGGCTCCACATTAACAAAATAGTAACAATTTTTGGCTCGGTGCCTATAGCTCAGTGGCTAGGGCACCAGCCACATACACAGGAGCTGGCAGGTTCAAATCCAGCCCTGGCCTGCTAAACAACAATGGCAACTACAACCAAAAAATAGCCCGGTGCTGTGGTGGGCACCTGTGGTCCCAGCTACTTGGGAGGCTGAGGCAAGAGAATCACTTAAGCCCAGGAGTTTGAGGTTGCTGTGAGCTGTGACACCACGGCACTCTACCCAGGGTAAATAGAGGGACTCTGTCTCAAAAAAAAAAAAAATTTTTTTTTAAAAACTCTGCAAATCCTGCCACCTCTCTTCAAAATATATTGAGAAACAAAATTATTCTCTGTATGTCTACAACTAATACCCTGGCCCAAATACCATCATCTATCACCTGGGCTTTTGTAACAGATTCCTAACTGGAATGCTAGTTTTATGTTCCCTGCAGAAGCTAGAGTTAGCCTTTTAAAAACCGAAGTATGATCATATCACTCCTCTGCTTAAAAACCTTCCAAATGGTCTCTCATCTCAAATGGCAATTTCCAAGATCACTATCATCGCCTAAAGGCCTTATATGATCTGCACACCTTCACCACCAACTTTTCCAACCCATTTGGTTCCACTTTCTCTGCTTCAGTCACATGATACTTGCTGTTCCTTGAAAATGCCAAATACACTCTCATCTTAGGACCTTAGTCCTTACTATTCCCTCTACTTAGAATGATATTCCTCAGTTTTATGGCTCTGTCCCTCACTTCTTTCAAGTCTTTGCTCAGATGTCAGCTTTCCAGAGAGGATATCCATGATCATTCATGTAAAAATAACATCCTACTCCCTCTCCCTTGCCCTGCATTTTAGTGAATTTTAAGCAAATAATAGTAGCCTCTAAAACAATAAAATATTGTGTTTTCATAGCTGTCACCTAACCTTAAGGGTCCATTAGATGTCAGAGCCACTGTTGAGAGAAAGTAGCAAAGGAAATGTTGCTTTTTTCTGCTTCTGATCCACAGATACTTTGAAAGCATCTAATAGGTAAGGAATAAAGAATTACAAGGTAAACTTTGTAACGTGACTACAGTATTAGAAACATAACTTGAGAAGTTAATACATAAGATTTCAAAGCATCAGGGTGGCCAAAAAAATGTACACACATTTTAAGAGATGTTATATCTATGTATTACTTTTGAAGTTGAATTGAATTATGGTAGCAATCAAATGAATGCTAGTGTCACTATGTGACAGGCATGTATAGGACAGCTTTTCCTCTTAAAACATATATACATTCTTTGGCACCCTCTGTGGTTTTTATTCTTGTAGTGACTAACTGGCTTACATACATGCCTAAAACCAAGTGTACTAGAATATACTTTCTCTTGATACACATTTGTGCTGTCCAAGATGGTTACTGTTCAATACAGCAGTCACTTGTGGTAACTGAGCCCTTGAAATGTGGCTAGTCAGAAGTGAGATTACAAAGACAGTAAGAGCATACCTTGCTTATATGCTGAAATGATGATATTTTAAATAGTATTAGGCTAATTAAATTATAAAATAATTTCCCCTATTTATTTTTACTTTTTTAATGTGTGGACAAGAAAATTAAAAATTATATGTTTTGTTTGCATTGTATTTCTATCAGACAGCACTACTTAAAATGCCAGCATATTTGTCCTTAAGAGTTTTCACTTCAAATTTATAAATAAATCTTATTTACTTTCAACTCCCTGTAACCTAAAATTGTAGCAGAAATAGTACATTGTGAAATGTAATAAATTTTAAATAGCCATCCAGCTCAAGAAATTTCATTAGCCCTATCCTGGGTAAAGCACACATTTAATTTTAAAACCATTAAAATGTCTATCAAGCCATGGCAGGTAAGGGTGTGGTTATCTGTAAGTCTGAAGGCTAAGAGGTAAAATCTAGCCACTGCCTATACTCTCCTACCACTTAGTCTTCCTCAACTCCCTGACATCTAGTGTTGGTTCTCAGCAACTCTTTGAAACGGCACCAGTGATTCTTTTTTTTTTTTTTTTTTTTTTGAGACAGAGCCTCAAGCTGTCCCCCTGGGTAGCATCACAGCTCACAGCAACCTCCAACTCCTGGGCTCAAGCAAGTCTCTTGCCTCAGCCTCCCAAGTAGCTGGGACCACAGGCACCCGCCACAATGCCTGGCTACTTTTTGGTTGCAGCCGTCATTGTTGTTTGGAGGCCCAGGCTGGATTCGAACCCACCACCTTAGGTGTATGTGGCTGGTGCCTTAGCCACTTGAGCCACAGGCACCGAGCCAGCACCAGTGAGTCTTGACTGTCAAAAGTAATCTTGGTAACTCAGTCTCACTGAGTTACTGCCTCTCCCTAGCATTTGAATTTATGGTCCATCATCTCCTTCACCCCAACTTACAAATTCCAGAGATATTTTACTTTTCCCTTTTCTTCCTCTCTATATTCTCTCATTTACCAGTGTCTATGATTATACTTTTAATGTTTCTAGTATCTTCTCCTTTGTGTATAATTTTACCCTAACTCTGGTTCAGATCCCCTTGCCTGCAATACTGCCACAGGCCCTTCATAGTTCCCTCTCATGGTATTCCACTCCTTAAATGTAAACTCCATGAGGGCAGGGGTATTCTCTTCATTCCTTTCCCTAGTACCCCTAGACAATGCCTAGCAAACAGCAGGAGTTCAATTAATATTTGTTGAATGGTTGGGCACAGTGGCTCATGCCTATAATCCTAACACTTTGGGAGGCTGAAGCAGGAGGATCTCTTGAGCCCAGTTTGAGACCAACTTGAGGAAGATCGAGATCCTATGTTATCCTATATATTATAAAAGTATATAACTTTTATGTAATTATGCTGGGCAAAATTAGCCAAGTCTTGCGGCAAGCACCTGTAGTCCCAGCTACCTGGGAGGTTGAGACAGGCAGATTGCTTGAGCCCAGAAATTTGAGGTTGCTGTAAGCTAGGCTGATGCCACAGCACTCTCTCCTGGGCAAAAGAGTGAGATTTTGTCTCAAAAAAAAAGAACATTTGAAATTTGTTTAATGAATGAATGCAAAACATGATTGTTAGATTAATCTTAATCATTCTCCATTCAAAACTTTAATGAAATTCTCTTGCCTATAGACCATCCTACTACTTAAAGCCATCTACAATCTCAGCCAATATACATTTAAATTCAGCAAACTGCTATTCTCTTAATCTTTTAACACTCAGATATATATGCACATCTGTCTTAATACCCCTGCTCATGCTGTTCCTTCTGCCTGGAACGTTCTCTTTCTTGCTAGGTTTTGAAATCTATTAATCCCTGAAAGCCCAGCTTATTATACTGCCTCCTCATGGCAATCTTCTCAAACATCCCTGATTGAAGATAGCTCTTCCTCACAGAGCATTTACTGTCTATAGTGCCCATTTGATGATTTAACATGTGTGCCCCTTGTGAAAGTATTTTATTGTTATATTATTCTGCAAATTATTTTTTCATATGCACATCATGCCTTCTAATTAGACTTTTAATAACTGAACTGCAAGAATTTTTGTTCTGGCTCAATCCTCAAGCTCAGTGGTTAGGGCACCAGCCATATACACCAAAGCTGGTGATTTCGAACCTTGCCTGGGCCTGCTAAATAACAATGACAACTACAACAAAAAATAGCTGGGTGTTGTGGCCAGCACTTGTCCCAGCTACTGGGAGGCTGAGGCAAGACAATCACTTAAGCCCAAGTGTTTCAGGTTGCGGTGAGCTGTGACACCACAGTACTCTACCAAGGGCAACATGGGGAGAGTCTGTCTCAAAAAAAAAAAAAGGAATTTTTGTTCCATTAAAAAAATTAATGTTGTTGGCTCAGCACCTGTGGTTCAAACGGCTAGGTGCCAGCCATATACATCTGAGATGGCGGGCTCGAATCCAGCCTGGGCCCACCAAACAACAATGATGGCTACAACCAAAAAATAGCTGGGCGTTGTGGCGGGCGCCTGTAGTCCCAGCTACTTGGGAAGGAGAGGCAGGAGAGTCACTTGAGCCTAGGAGTTGGAGGTTGCCATGAGCTGTGATTTCAAAGCACTCTACCCAAGGGTGACAGCTTGAGGCTCTGTCTCAAAAACAAAAATAAAAACAAAAAGTTAATGTTTATAGGCTGGGTGTGGTGGCTCACGCCTATAATCCTAGCTCTCTGAGAGGCAGAGGCAGAAGGATCACTTGAGGTCAGGAATTTGAGACCAGCTTGAACAACAGTGAGATCCCATCTTTACTAAAAATAGTAAAATCTGGCTTGGCACCCATTGCACAGTGGTTATGGTGCCAAGGGTAGCAGGGTGGCAGGTTCGAACCCAGCCTGGGCCAACTAAACAACTGCAATCCAAAAATAGCTGCCCTGCCCTGCCTGGGCATTGTGGCAGGCACCTATAGTACCAGCTACTTGGGAGGCTGAGGCAAGAGAATCACTTAAGCCCAAGAGTTGGAGGTTGCTGTGAGCTGTGATGCCACAGCACTCTACTGAGGGTGACATAATGAGACTCTGTCTCAATAAATAAATAAATAAAAATAAAAATAGTAAAATTAGGCAGGCATAGTGGCTGGCACCTGTAGTCCCAGCTACTCGGAAGGCTAAGGCAGGACTGCTTGAGCTCAGGAGGTTGAGGTTGCTAGCTAGGCTGAGGACCGGGCACTCTAGCTAGGGCAACAGATCAAGCCTCTGTTTCAAATAAACAAACAAACAAAAAATTAATGTTTGTGCCAGACATGATAGTATGCACTTGCAGTGTCAGCTATTCAGGAGGCTGAGGTAGAAAGATGGCTAAAGCCCAGGAATTCATATCTAACCTGGGCAACACAACAAGATCCCATCTCTAAAAATAGAAAATAAATTAAAATAAAATATTAAAAATAAATAATTAATTAAATATGTTTACAAATCCAAAAATATTAACCTTTGAGAAAGTAATATATAAAGTATAAAAATAGAAGGGGGGGAAGGTCAGATTGAAGGAGGGTGAATGGTGGAACCACACCAATGGTGCATAATGCAAGGGTACATATCGGATATATTAAGTACGGACTATAAATGTTTCAACACAATAATTAAGTAAATGAAACAAGGTACATATTAACCAGTGTGATGTAAATGCTCCTAATTCGATATGGAATCAGCACATTGTACCCCATAAAGGTATTAATGTATACATGATCTATGTGTTTATGATTTAATTTAAAAAAGTATAAAAATAAAGGGCACAAAAGAATTTAAAATGTAAATGAAGTCTCTTTCTTAACCCTACTCCCAGCCACTTGATTCTTTACTCTAGAGGAAACATTATTACCAATTTCTTATGAATCTTCCAGAAATAGACTACAAGCACATAGGCACATATAATCTTCTTTAAAAAGTATAAATAGTTAGCATACCAAATACATAGAACAGTGCTGATAAATAATATATACTCATAAATACTTATGCAAGAATGAATAAATTATTCTATACCTTACTTTTTTACTGAATATATATTAGATTTTTTTCTATAGCAATATGGAAACAACTCCCTCTTTCTTTTCCCATGGTTGCATTCTACCATCTAATTACTATTAGATGTGGTCATCTAATAGTATTTTTTTTTTCCATCTGTAATATATCTACAGATGACCACAGTTTATTTAACCAATCTCATTTTGATAAACTAGACTTTCACATTGTTTACAATCATTTGTCTCAGGAATAACATTGCAACAACAAAAAAATTCATACATTTCTTCAGATACATAGTTTTATCTGAAAAAGAAATTTCAAGTAGTACATGAATAATGATTTCTCTGTATCCTTATAAATACATTGCCAAGGCTGAAATAAAAAAAATCTGGTAGTTTAAAAATAAAACCTCAACAGCCGGGTGTTATGGCGGGCGCCAGTAGTCCCAGCTACTTGGGAGGCTGAGGCAGGAGAATTGCTTAAGCCCAAGAGTTTGACATTGCTGTAAGCTGTGATATCACAGCACTCTATCAAGGGCAACATAGTGAGACTCTGTCTCAAAAAATGAATAAACAAATAATCAGATAAAACCTCATTTTAGCTTTAATTCAAATTTTTCTTATTCTAAGTAAGTGTGATCATTTTCTTTCATGTTAAAATATATTTTTCTCTGTGAACTTTATTCATGATTTTTGGCTGTTTTTTAAATTGGGTTATTTATCTTATTTATTTGCAGGAGTTTTACATATATTGAAGAACTAAGAGCTCTGTTGTATGAATTATATATTTTTTGTTAGTTTATATTTTTAGTCAAATTTACCAGTTCTCTTTCTATGGTTCCTGAGTTTTTTTGGTTATACTTAGTAAGGCCTATTTTTTTTTTTGAGATAGAGCCTCAAGCTATTCCCCTGGGTATGGGGTGCTATGGCATCACAGCTCATAGCAACCTCCAACTCCTGGGCTCAAGTGAGTCTCCTGCCTCAGCCTCCCAAGTAGCTGGGACCAAAGGCATCCGCCACAACGCCTAGCTATTTATTTTTGGTTGCAGCCATCATTGTTGTTTGGCAGGTCCGGGCTGGATTCAAACCCGCCACCTTCAGTGTATGTGGCTGGCGCCTTAGCCACTTGAGCCACAGGCGCTGAGCCGTAAGGCCTACTTTATACCCAGACTATACAAGTTTTCCCTACTTTTTTTGAGACCTGTGAGCTCAGGGGCAATCTACCCATCTCTGCCTCCCAGAGTGCTGGGATTACAGGTGTGAGTCACCATGAGTAGCCCAAGACTCTGTCTCTTAAAAAAAAAAAAATACTATTAAAGATTGGGTATGGTGGCTCACACCTGTAATCTTAGCACTCTGGGAGGCCAATGCGGGTAGATCACTAGAGCTCAGGAGTTCAAAATCAGCCTGAGCAAGAGACCCCATCTCTCAAAATAGCGAGGCATTGTGGTTGGAGCCTGAGGCAAAACAATCACTTGAGCTGAAGAGTTTGAGGTTGCTGTGAGCTGTGATACCATAGCACTCTACCAAGGGTGACAAAAAAAATACTATCAAGCAATCACCAAATTATTTAAATTAACGTCCCTTTCAAAAACAAACACAATGAAGATTCATCACTACTATTTCATTAAGAATCTAATCCTTACCTAAAATATGGCCAGTGGGACAGTAGCATTTTCCTTCTGCAGTTAAGCTACCAGGGCAAGAAATGCAGTTCCAGCCATCTTGGGTAACACCTTTCTAAATAAAGAGAAAAAAGAATTTCTTGTCTTTTTAATTAACTTTCTTTTTGTTAGTTGATCATGTAAGTTCAAAAGCCGTAACAGTATGAAAGCTGAAGCTAATATTCAAATAAATCAAACATAGATGAGCCACCTAAAAATTCCTTGAATAGCCAATTCATGCTTATATTCCAAAATTAAGTTACACCTTATTACCACGTACTGAAAACTATTAAGGGATTAACTCTGGCTAACAGTTCATTCTTCTTCCTAATATTCAGTTCAAATAGAGTCTTACTTATTTTCACAATTAATTATGTCCTTCGATTTTTCCATTTACAAATATAAAACACGACAGGACTGAAGCAATAGAGAGCCAATTAATATTATAGTTGTTCTAAAACAGTCATTCTAATTTTTAAAACTTCAAATATATTAGACTTTAAAAATCAATTTGTGATTCAAAATGAGTGAATTTTATGGTATATAAATTATACAAAAAATCGTTCAAATTGACTTGTGAGAATATGTCCTATCTATTAAAATTTTGTTCTAGGTAAAGGCTTTTTATAAAGTCTATCATTCAAAATTGAACTTATTATATTATATGGTTTAGGAAAAGGCTGGGGCAAAATACAGTAATCATAGTTGTAACTAAAATTAGCAGAGAACAATGACAAAAACTAAATAATCCCTCACATTATTTTAAATTTTGGTTAAAAAGAACAGATTCATCAAGAAATGTTCCCATATGGCCTGGTGCAGTGGCTCACTTTTTTTTTTTTTTTTCCAGTTTTTGGCCAGGACCAGGCTTGAACCCACCACCTCAAGGTATATGGGGCCAGTGCCCCACTCCTTTGAGCCACAGGCACCACCCTTCACTTTATAATCCTACCACTCTGGGAGATCAGGCAGGAGGATCCTTTGAGCTCAGGTGTTCAAGATCAGCCTGAGCAAGAGTGAGAACCCCTCATCTACTTTATAAATACAGAAAAATTAGCTGGGCATTGTGGCTGGCTCCTGTAGTCCCAGCTACTCACACGGCTGAGGCAGGAGGATCACTCAAGCCCAGGAGTTTGAGGTTGATGTAAATTAGGCTGACACCATGCACTCTACCCTGGAGCAACATAGTGAGACTCTATATCAAAAAAAAAAGATAAAAAGAAAAAAAGAAAAAAAATTTCTTATATGTGGAATACATTCATAAAGGACTATTTAAAAGTTACAATAGTGACTGGGTACAGTGGCTCATGCCTATAATCCTAGCACTCTGGGAGGCTGAGGTACAAGGATTGCTTGAGGCCAAGAGTTTGAGACCAGCCTGACCAATATAGGGGACCACTGTCTTTTTTTTTTTTTGTAGTTTTTTGGCTGGGGCTGGGCTTGAACCCACCACCTCCAGCATATGGGGCCAGGCCCTACTCCTTTGAGTCATAAGCGCCACCCGAGACCATTGTCTTTACAAAAAGAAAAAAAATTAGCCAGTTATGGTGGCCCATGCCTATAGGTCCAGCTACTTGGGAGGTGGAGGCAGAAGAACTGCATGAGCCCAGGAGTTTGAGGTTACAGTAGACTCTGACGATGCCACTACACTCTAGCCAAGGCAACACAGTGAGACCCTGCCTCAAAAATAAGTAAATAAATAAAAATTACAATTGCTTAAATGTCACTAAAAAATAAATCTGCTGCTATCATTTTTTATTAACAACTTTTATCATCAGTAATTCAGCTAGAACCAATATTTGCAAAAATATAAAATAAATATCAAAATGATTCAGACCTACAAGTAATACAGGTAGCTGCACCAGGACAATTGATAACTTCATATTATATTCCCAGAATTTATGTTTTTTTTTTTTGCAGTTTTTTTTTTTTTTTGGCTGGGGGTGGGTTTGAACCCACCACCTCTGGTATATGGGGCCAGCGCCCTACTCCTTTGAGCCACAGGTGCTGCCCCCGAATTTATGTTTTTTTATGTGACAATAAGAAACATAACTGTACAAGTCAGAACTGCCACTCAAGAGACTTTGAACTATCCAAAAGGTTTAGAAAATATATTTGTTAACTGAGAATTACCATATATAGTAACTACTAATATAATAATTTTCAAAAAAGTATGATATAATGAAATGACTAACAAAGCAGTGACAAAAATTATTTAATCTTTATTGATATAATTGGCATGGCATGATCTTATCATACCATCATATCACTATGAAAATCAATGACCATATAAAATTGCTGCCACAGTAGGTCTAAAACATTAAATTCAATTTGTACCAGTAAAAGGATATTAAGACCCTAAACTGCACTATATAAGCATTATTCATCCAATTTTCTTTCTTTTTTTTTTCTTTGCAGTTTTTGGCCAGGGCCAGGTTTGAACCCGCCACCCCTGGTATATGGGGCCAGCGCCCTACTCCTTGAGCCACAGGTGCTGCCCCAATTTTCTTTTTTACAGTTTTTGGCCAGGGCTGGATTTGAACCCACCACCTCTGATATATGGGGCCAGCGCCCTACTCCTTGAGCCATGGTGCCACCCAGTCTAATTTTCTTTATAACTCAGTTAACTCTATAAGGAAAAACAACAACAGAAATTTTTAGTCTTGTAGGTTTTGGAATTCAGATTTAAAAAACAACAATTTGTGTGTTTTACAAGTTTGTGTAAAATTTCACTGATCTCCCAAAGTTTACTCTAGTAAAAATAACCTTAAGATTATTAATTCTAAAGTTTGTAGGAATATATTAAATATTAAACTGTAGTTTGAAAAACAAAAACATTTAAGCTCGGCACCTGTGGCTCAAGTGGCTAAGGTGCCAGCCACATACACCTAAGGTGGTAGGTTCGGATCCAGCCTGGGCCTGCCAAACAACAATGATGGCTGCAACCAAAAAATAGCAGGGCGTTGTGGCAGGCGCCTGTGGTTCCAGCTACTTGGGAGGCTGAGGCAAGAGACTTGCTTGAGCCCAGGAATTGGAGGTTGCTGTGGGCTGTGATGCCAAAGCACTCTACCCAGGGGGACAGCTTGAGGCTCCATCTCAAAAAAAAAAGAAAGAAAGAAAAATAAAAACATTTAATATATTACTTTTTACAGTAAAATTATTTTAAAATCAAATTCTCCATACCAGGTTTTCTGGGCACTTTTTACAAACAACGTCATGTCCTCCATTATTAGAGATCATCTGAAATCCTGGCAGACACTCACACGATGTTCCTAAATTAAAAAAAAAAAAAGTCAATTGTATCCTTGGTAAATAAAAATAAAACTCCAAGATAGGGAAACTTTTAATAATTCTGAAGATTTTGAGAAGTAATGTAGTGGACAGTAGTTAAGACTCTGGAGCCAGAACTGCCAGGGTTCAAATACAGCCACTTAATCTCTCAGGTTCCAGTCTTAGTTCTCCTACTTAGCAATGTGATCATGAACAAGTTACCAAATTTGTCAGTTCCTTGGCTTCCTCTATGGCAAAATGGAGAAAGTAGCAGTACCTATTCTTACGGTGGTGTTAGTTATTATATGTAAGAGTGTTAGGAAGAGTATCCGGCACACAACTGGTACTGTGTTGCTACCGTTTTAAGAGTAAGCATAATTAAACTATTGAACTGTTAAACAATTTAGCTACTGTGGGAAATTTTACATTCCTATGTCACTAAATGATATACGTATAATTCAATTAATTCATGTTGTCATAACCTTATTAGGAAAGTTACTATCATTCAAATAAGTCACCGTTTGAAGTTACTGTCATTCAAATAAGTCACCATTTCCCTCTGTTTGGACAAATAGTAAACATTGTAAGATAACACTATTCAACATGCTAGATAGGTAATAACAGCATTCTCTAAAGAGCCATTAAGTGGGAACAGCACCAAGAGAAGTCTATGAGGTACAATGCATACAATATCTGGATTCATAATTACGGAACTAAGGCCTTACATTTTTGTCTGAAATGCTTTCTCATTCATACTTCCTCACCTTTACAGACTGACCTATCCTATTCCAATGAATTAAAAGAAAATATATTAAATATGAAGATGGCAGAACGTTAATAACATGGAGAGGGAAAACATTTGACTTTAAATGTGGGAAAGCACTTACTCTGAGAGGTTTCAGTGAGAACCAGGACCAGACGTTTTAGGGGAAAAAAACTAAGTTTAATCTAAGGGGACTTCAAAAGCAATTAGTGATATTTAACAATAAACGGAATAAATCCTAAGAGAACCTAGACTATTAGAAACATGATTGCATAGAGAAAATACATAGGTCAAGACTGAGGGCAAAGAGACACGAATTTTTCCAGGTCCCCAATTTAGGTGGCACATTGCAACCTTACGTGGGCTTCAATTTCCTTACCTTCAATTTCCGTAACTATGAATCCAGATATTGTATGCATTCCTTTTCCTTCTCGTAAAACGAGAAGACTGAACCCGATAGTGAATAGGTCCCTTCCAGCTCTAAATTTCTGGTATTTTAAAAGCAATATAAAGGTTAACCAAGTTTACAAGTGCTAATCTGCATTTTCTCCCTAATCTTTCCTGTCACTTGTTCGTCTTCATAATATTTCTCTATTTTCTACCTTCTAAGAACGGCTTTACAGGTACCTCCCTAATCATGCTCTGTCCCCAAGAGGAGCGCAGAAACGGAGGAAAAAAATTAATTATTAGCGACGGTTCACAGGATAGTGGACTGAAGGCCCCCAACTTCATTAGTGTGCAAACTGCAATCCTCCAAGGAACTCTTTTCCAGGCGTCAACTGTTAACTTTCTGAAACACTTCTGCAAATAAAAAGGTTTTTCAGCGACCCCAGGAACTGAGGGCAGATCAAGGAGAGGGTGCTGCTCTTCTCTGGGCCCACCTCAGTCTCACCTCGGGCATCCTGCCTCTGGTTGGCTCCACACGGGACACAGGAGAGCACAGAAATATCGAAGTAGTGGTTGTGGTTGCACTTTTCCGGCTGCTGGAAAGGAAAAGAGAATGTCTGGGCCTGTGACACGCTAGAGAAAAGCAACAGGAAAAACGCATCCACCACTCTGGCGGATGAAATGGACCCAACAGCCATTGCCACTCCAGTCCTGCTGCGCGTCGCCATGGTACCGACGCTAGCGGCAGCACGGACTGAAGCTCCCATCAGCCTCTGCGGCGATTCTGCTGAGCTGATTGGACAACCCAAGCCGGAGTTTTGGAAATCCCTACCTGCGCTGCTTGGTTGCTAGGTTACCAAACCCGCGGGAATCTGGTGCGGCCCGGAAAAGATGGATTACAGGATGGCTAACCCTGGATCCCGGGGGCAATTTATTACGTGTGCAGAAGCTCCTCGTGTTTTTAATACAGGAAGGCTGCTTCCGGATGAGTCCATCGTAAATTGAAAATACAGTTAAGTCGAAAACATAGGACTCGATCCTTTCCTTTAATGAGAAGTGAAATCAATTTACAGCCTTGGGAGCACAGCAGAGAAAATAACCCAGTGTTTTTCAACCTTTTTTTTTTTTTAATCTCACGGCATGCTTGAATCTATAGTTAAACTTCCGGGCACTCTTAAATTATGTTGATTAAAGAAAAAAAAAGTAGAGTCGGGCGGTGCCTTTGGCTCAAAGGAGTAGGGAGCAGGCCCCATATGCCAGGAGGTGGCGGTTTCAAACTCAGCCCTTGCCAAAAACTGCAAAAAAAAAAAAAAAAAAAGTAAATAAATAAAAGGTAGAAAAAAGAATAGATGTACTGTACTCTGAACTTTTTGGGAAGATAATGTAATTAAGGATCTTTAAAAACCTTTGTGGCATCCCTAAGATCTTCTCATGGCAATCTGGTTGAAAATCACTAAAATATCCCATTGTATCACATAAATTAAGAGTCAGTATTATTTCTTTGGGTTTTTTGTTTGTTCGTTTTTGAGACAGAGTGTCACTCTTTTGCCCTCTGGTTGAGTACCATGGTGTCATATTTCATAGCAACTTCAAACTCTTTGCCTCAGTGAATCCTCTTGTCTCAGCCTTCCGATTATCTGGCACTGAAGGCACCAGCCACAATGACCAGATAGTTTTTCTATTTCTAGAGATGGGTTAGTTTTTCTATTTGTAGAGATGGGTTATCACTTTGCTCAGGCTGGTCTGAAACTTCTGATCTCAGGCAATCCACCGACCTCAGCCTCCCAATGTGCTAGGATTATGGGCAGCACCTGGCCAAGAGTATTATTTCATTAAACCCTTTAATATTATTTAAATCAGAATTTATGCAGACTATAGATAATTTTCACTTTAAAGGATACATGGGGCCCAGCAGGGTGGCTCAGACTGTAATCCCAGAACTTTGGGAGGCTGAGCTGGGGGAATTGCTTGAGCCTTGGATCTTGGGATTATAGTAAAATGTGATCATGCCACTACACAAGCAACAGAACAATACCTTATCCTAAGAAATAGAAAAGAGAGAGGGCCACGTATTTTAGGAATTTGAACAATTTATAAGCACACACACATATACTGATTTAAGACATGCAATGCTAGAGGGTTACTGTGGCTCAGGAACTTAACAACAACAAAAAATTCCTGGCAGGCTTTTGTTTTTCTACTTTCATTGTTTTGAGCATAGGAAATCATGTATATAGGATGAGATTATCTTAACATCACTTGTGATTAAAAAAGTAACCTAGGGTGGCACCTGTGGCTCAAAGGAGTAGAGTGCCAGCCCCATATACCAGAGGTGGTGGGTTCAAACCTGGCCCTGGCCAAAAAATAAAATAAAATAAAATACAAAAGTAACCTAGTCTTTTAAAATCAAATTTACGCACACAAACACACACACAAATTACACATACATAAGGGTTGTCTTTCTACGTAGGAAATATTAGTACTAAAAGAGAATGAAACCATGTCTTTTGCAGCAACATAGATGGAACCGGAGGCCGTTATCTTAAGTGAAACAACTTAGAAATTGTCAAATACCGCATGTTCTCACTTACAAGTGATATGTAAATAATGTGTACACTTGGCGTGTGCTCAGGCACCCTACCCGGGGGAGCTGCACGCGCTGGACGAAGAGAAAAACATGAAGCATGAAATCAATGCTGTTGTCTTCTTTCTCACAAGGCTAGTTTGAAAACATGATGAGTTGAAAAAAGAGGCAGTTGAGAGGTTTGCTGAGAAATTGATTCTAATACTTTAAGAAAAATATAAAAATCACTGTTATCTGGAAAAACCATCAAAGGACAGGCTTACAGATGCATTCATGTCAATAAGGTTCAGAGAATTGATCCTGATATCCTGAAAGCTTGTAAGAACAGCTGCATCTTGTATAGTGACCTGCACTTGCCAAAGGAGCTTACTCTCTGGGTAGACCCATGTGAAGTGTGCTGTTGCTATGGAGAGAAAAACAATGCATTCGTTATTGCCAGCTTTGAAATTGAGGATGAGAACAAGGATGAGATCTCCAAGAAAGTTCCCAGGGCCCTTGATAAAGTTACCTCTGATTATCATTCAGGATCCTCTTTCTTAGATGATGAAACAAGGGCGTCACCTGTGGCTCAAAGGAGTAGGGTGTTGGCCTCATATGCTGAAGGTGGTGGGTTCAAGCCTAGCCCCAGCCAAAAACTCCAAAAAAAAAAAAAAGAAAAAAGAAACAAGGAAGTGGAAGTTAAACTCAATTAGGCGACTGCAATACCAAGCCCTATGTCAGATTTCAGAGTTGATATTCCCACCTCTTCCAATGTGGCATCCGTTGCTCAGAAAAAAGCCAAGAATGTACCAAGGGAATGGCCATCAGAGCCACTACCCTCCTCCTATTCCATTTGGTTATCCAAATTAGGGAAAGAAGAATAAACCGTATTTTCCAATTCCAGTGACATGGGTACCTTCTCCTGGAATGCACTGTGACTGGAATCATTGGATTAATCCTCACACGTTAGCACCTCACTAGGTTCTTCTTCTTTTTTTTTTTTAATTTTTATCCATCTTGAGTCAATTTTTTTTTTTTTTGAGACAGAGCCTCAAGCTGTCCCCCTGGGTAGAGTGCTTTGGCATGACAGCTCACGGCA